ATTAGGGGAAGTCAGTTTTGAATCCTCTGAAAAGTTTGAAAATAAGGAGATTTGTAAAGAAAGTTTTATAACTCAGAGAAACATGAACCGGCCATGGATACTGCGTCTGCTGGCCCCTTGGGAACTTGGCTTTAAGGATAGAGATGCGTAATTTGCCCATCCTTGGCAATGCGTTAGTAGCCTTTTTATGCTCCGGAAGGTCCTTAAACAATCTCACAGTAGGTCAGATCTTTTTCTTGTGATGTAGTCTTAAAAAATAGCTTAGCCAGCTTTTACTTCTAGTTTTTGGAAAGACGGGGTTAAAGATGGGGTTCAGCCTGGGCCACCTGGCTGTTCCCAGGGAACTAATGCACTAGATGCTCAGAATTCCATGGGCCTTGCTTTCACATGGTAAGTCCATGAGTTCCTTTAATAGTGACAGTGTTATAATGAATAATTATCATAGTGATCAGCAATTTAATAGCGACAGTAATAGATATTTTAGTGAATATTTGGTAATGCTTTAATATCATTAGATGAACATCTGGTCACTTTACATACTTAATGCACTTAATGCCCTCTAACTTTTTATACCGTAGTTGTATGATCAATTCAGCTCAGTGGTTTAGTTTTGCTTACAGTTTCTGATGTCTGTCTGCTAGATGAGAAGTTTTAGAGGAAAAACCAGACTTTCTAAATTTTGTCTGGTGTAGGATACATGAACTGGGGTTTATCCACTAGTAACCAAGAAGCTGACAGCATAATTTGCACTGTGAGGTACTTGGGGGAGTTGCTCATGCGTAGGTGTGAGGGGATACCTTGTTGGGTGCGTGTCGAGTGGGAGCAGGTGGCTCCAGCCTGAGCCTGAGGGTGCAGGGAGGAAGTCTGCCTGGCCCAGCCGCCCTGCCCCCCGCCCCAGCATGGTGGGCGCGCCATTGCGTCCCTTCGCCAGGCACAAAACAGATTCACAAACACAGCTGCACGGAACGGCAAAGAGTAGGAAGGACTGTGGGCAGCCCCAGCCTGCTGCGTGGGAGCGCCTTTGAGTAGCGGGTCTCAGACTGTCCTGATTGCCATGTTCGATCTGCCTACTCCTCTTACATCATTTGCCATGACTTCTGCTTCAAAACCGTGTCACCATACACGGAAAGGAATGACCCTTTCCAGTTTGTTGGGGGCCAGTGGCGCCGTCCTCACCTGGAGGCAGCCATTGACTGGAGCGCGCTCGGGGGGCGCGGGGGTTAGGGCTGTTTGATGAAGAAGCGTCCGGTGGGGCAGGGCGGACACTGTGGTAGTTGGGAGGAGGATCGCCTTTGTCCCAAGCACCCTCCTGGGAGTTGCTTCCCTGTGCGCCGCAGCAGCTGGGGAACGCTCTGAGCGGAGGCGGCGCCCCGCTGGGACACTGCGCCCGCACCCTGCTGCCGTCACCGCCTTGCTCTCCGAAGCCGGGCTCTGCCGGGCTCTGCCGCGTCGGGCAGGCGTCGGTCTGCCTAGCGGTTGCTGCCTCAGTGAGCCCCGAGAGAATCTGAACCAGAAGGGGCAGCTCTCCATCAGCCCCGGTGAAGGTGGACACGAGGCTGAGGGTGTGTTCAGCCCATTACCTGCGGGACGGCCAGCTTCCTGCCCTGCTCGCGCCGCTTCTTGAGGCCCCGTTGCTTCCAGCCAGCCGGCATTGGTTTCCCTAAGCGGATACTTGCTTCGCCCATGGCTCAGTTACTGTGTCCTGGGCACTGTTCTAGCGCCTCATGGAAGCTTCTGAGCAGTGTGGGTGTCTCCCTGGTTGGTTTCCCGCTGGGCGCGTTTGCTCGGAATGCGTTTCTGGCTCCTGGGGTGCCTTGGAGAGGGAGCTCCCACCTTTTACCTTCCAAAGGAAGGGTCAGAGCAACGGCCCCCAACCTTCACTTCTAGCACAGGAAGGCTTTAGAAGTGAGGGGTTTGGGGGTCAGTGGAGAGGGTTTGGCTTCTGAGTCACACCCTGCAAAGCTGAGGCAGTCGCAGTACATTTCGAGGTCGGCACCCCTCTCGAGACCTCTTGCTGTGCAGGGGGCGGGCCCAGGAGATTGTACCTGGGATGCTGCAGTCTGTCACACAAGGAAAGACGCTTCCCATCCCTGGCACTGGAGCTCTGTTTACTGCTCCCCCCCCCCCACACACTTTTTTTTTTTAAATAACATTCTTAGAATATAGGATGACAAAAACGATGACACGTTCAGTACTGGTGGGAACTTGAATTCTTTTATATTTTATTAGCCTCAGCTCCATCTCCTTTCATTTGAAAATACTGGATGGACACAGGGGTTGTGTGATGGTCTGGCTCACACTCGGCGTGGGTATTCATGAGGGTTCTACAGGAGGTGGGTTCTCAGCTACAGCGGGTCCCCACTGCCAGGTGGCTGACATGGGAGGTGCCCCAGCCATGTCTCGGGGCTGGTCACCACTGGTCGCAGAAGTCAGTTTCACCGGTCTCAGTTCATGATGGAAACAAGCAAACAGTTCCGGTTAGAGAGACTGGTGCTTCCTGGTGCGGGCCGGAGCCCTGGGAAGTAACTGTCGTCTTCTCTGCGGCCTGTGAGCTGTGGGCAGCTGCTCTAGAAAGCCTGTGTTTTCCTCAAGCAGCCAGGTGTAAGGTCCCTTGGGACTCGGAGACACCGCCAAGGAGGCCTGCGTGCCCCCTGCTGCTGTCTGAGTTGCTGGCAGCTCAGCCCCCTGGGAGGGGAAGACTAGGCTCCACCACCACCGCTCTGGTCGTGGACCTGCGGCAAGGGAGGGCGTCTCCTACAAGTTGCCCAGGATCTTCCAGTCCGGCCCCCAAGGTTGAGCACTATCCCCGGAGCCTTCTTGGCACTGGTCTGCGCACACCCAGAAAAGAGACTTAACCTACAGGTCTGAGCGACAGGGCAAGGGGGGACTGCCTCCCGCTAGAACAGTTGGGCTTTAGGGTGGGGCAGGTACCGCTGTCTGGAAGCCCCATGGGTGGGCGATGGGGTGGCTGCCTGCTGCCGTCATCACGGCGGGCCAGGACGCACCTGGCAGCACACAGAGCCGTGCGTCCCGCGTGCTCCATGCCTAGTGTTTCCCGACCCTGGCCAAGACAGTCTGGTACCGGAAGGGCGTGTCTGTCCAGCCTCCGCCTGCAGACCTGGTCGGGACCTGCCTGCCCCACGGTGCTTCCCGCTTGAAGCTGATACCAGGAGCGATGAGGCTCAGCAGGGGAGGACCCCGAAGTGTAGAAGTGGGCAGGGGGCGGAAGTAGTGCCCTGCGTTCAGAGGAGTGGGACCTTCTCTGAAAGGGCCTGGACTCCTTTTCCCTGGGGGTGAGCAGCAGACTGACTTGCTGGGCAGTAACCCGCAGAGCTAGTCTCGCCCCCAGGGCTTCCTTTGCCGACCAGCGGGTGTGTCTGACCGGCACCTGGCCCTGCTGTGCGGAGAGCCGGTGGAGGCCAGTACTGCAAGCGTTCACTGCTCGGAGTCCAGTATCCCAGCCCCGGACGCGAGCGGTGTCTCAGCTCAGAGGCCCACGGGGTGCACAGCATCTGCGCCACACACGCTTCGCTGGCGGGAAAGGGACTCGTCCTTGGCGGGGTTGCTGCCTCTTTCCTCCCCGCTCCTCCCCTCCTCTGCCACAGCCCGGGCAGTGAGAATGCTCCCTGCGTGCTGGGTCTCGACCGGGGTGGAGGTGACGGTCACTGTCGCAGGCAGGAAGCCTGTGGTCGGGGCTGGCTGGCGATGACTCATGGAACATAGGGAAGAACAATGTCTGTCTTGGAGCTCCGGGAATCAGGCAGACGAGCTGGGGATGTGAGTAATGTAGAACTTTACTAAAATTACGCACGCGCCGGCCTCTTCCTGTGCCCAGAGTCTCCGGCCCCCCACTGCCACTCCCTAAGGTGACCCTTCACCTTGAGATATGGCCTGGCCCAGCGCCTCCTCTCCCCTGCTTCGCTGAGTGCATAGCTGGACCGCACCTGCCCCGGCTGTGGGGGCGACATGAGGTGGGCACAGAGGCCTCCTGAGCGTGGGCTGCTCCTTCCTGCCCATGGGCGCTGACTGGGGCCACACACTCATCGTGGCCCCCTCTGCTGGGGCTGCCATCTTCCTGGGCGACTGAGGTGTTGCTGCTTTCCCAGTCTTTACAGGAAGACGAGATCAGGGACAGGCCAGTGGCAGAATTAAGTATTTCTTACTGGCTGTCATCCCTCTTTGACAGCTGTCAGGAGATGCATGGGCTGCGTCAACGCCGAGCCTGAACATTGGCTCCATGGTTGTCTTAATGGAGCAAAAACTGATTGCTTTTGTCCGGAAAATGGGGGAGATGCTGTGCTCAAGGCCACTGAATGCCCTGCATGGTAAGCTCGGCCTCCTGCCGAGTGCGCTCTGCCAGTGCTCACTAGGCTCACAGCCTGAGTGTGGGGCACTCGGGCCCACCAGGCCGGGAAGTGCATCATCCGTCAGCCCCACGGTTGGCCAAGACAGAGGCCCAGGGTCCCAGCAGCCTGAGATATGGGGGTGGTGGGGCCAGCACCAGGGGCTCTTCCCACTGCGCCCCTCTGGCCTACTCCCACCACTACTGGCTGCGTGTGGATGCCCCTTTGAGGCCTCACAGCTGCCCATCGCTCCATGTCCACATGCTCACCCTCCTATCTGGCGCATCCGTGTGGCCAAGGGCCCACAGGTCCCTTCCTGAGGGCTGTGAACAGGGGCTTCATTCCAGAAGGCCCTTGCCACCGTGGGTAGGCAGGTGACCCCATTTGGGACAGGACGGGCTGCTGGGCAGGGTGACCAGCATGACCTCACAGAGCCCAGTTGAGACCCTCCTGGGGGCGTGGAGTCACACCCAGCTGGGGTGAGTATCCTAGGAGTTTGACCAGAGCTCTGGAACGTGGGGGTGCTGGCAGGCATTACCCCAGCAGGTGTCATCCCACAAAACGGTCCAGGTAAAGTGCCTGCCACGTAGCTGGCGTTTCCCCTTTGCCCTCAGAGATGCCAGGTATTCCTGCCTGAGTGCCTGCTCTCTTTTCCAGGAGCAAGACTGCCAATGGAGATTGTCGCAAAGACCCGCGGGAGCGGAGCCGCAGCCCCATTGAGCGCGCTGTGGCCCCCACCATGAGCCTGCACAGTGGCCATCTATACACGTCCCTCCCCAGCCTCAGCATGGAGCAGCCCCTCGCACTGACCAAGAACAGCATGGACGCCAGCAGGCCAGCCGGCATCTCGCCCACGCTGACCCCAGGGGAGCGGCAGCAGGTACACCTTTGCTGTGTGTGTGGGGTGGGGGTGGGGGTGGGGGCAGCAGCCTGAGAAGAGGTGTGGGAGGACTAGCTGTGCTTGGTCCTTGAGCACGGGAGAAGTAGGGGGTCTTTTACTGAGAGCACCCCACCTTTTTGAGTCCTACCCGGCCTTGCTTAGACCTTCAGTGCCTCTGGGGCTTCTTTCCTTGGGAGTCCAGTGCCTGTTAGCTTCATGGTTGCCTCACATGGAGTGAAATGCTGGGCCTTGGGCTGGAGTCCTGTGAAGTTGTGGGCCACAGAAGTTACTAGTCCTGCTGGTCAGGAGCTTGTGATTGGCACAAAGGGATGCTTTTCATTACAGGAAGATAAGGAAAGTGAATTATTACTTAGTAAACAGCATGCTTGGTAGAAAAATGAACAGTATCTTCTCAAAGGGGGGTTCCTGGACACCGGGTAAAGACCATGCAGGGGCCCTCGGCTTTCTCCCCTTACTACGTGGGTCCTCCTGTCGGGGCTGGCTCTAAGGGGGATCTCGTGACATTTAGGGACTCTACTTGGGGCCACTGATGTGTACAAGGGTGCCATGGAGCACCCACAGGTTAAGTGTCGCGAGTCGGTCGTCACACGGCTAACCCGCGTGTCTCGGCTGTGAGTCTTCAGCCAGCCGTTTGTTCTGGTAAGAACCAGGTAGAAGAAGTGTGGGTGCAGGACCTGCTTCCAGCTGGGGAGGTGCTCGGCCTAGTCAGAAACAGGCTGCAGGAGTCGAGGTGACCGAGGCACAAAGGAGGACCCAGCCCAGCTAGTGTCCCTGCGGGTGGCAGGGGGTGTGCCCTGTGGACGTCATCTTTGGCCCCTGGGGGCCTGGAAGCAGCGGAACCCCGTGTCCCCAGTCCATCTCTTCCCAGGAGAACCAAGTGGGCCCCACGTGGAAGCTCAGTGTTTTCTTGGGTCATGATTCCCACAGTGGAGCAAGGCTTGGGGTAGTTCTGGGTCCCCCCGCCGCCCCCGCGTGTGCTTGGCGGCACAGTTACCAGGATGGGGAACCGGGGCTCCAGCTTTAATTTCAAGTTGGGGTGAAGAGGTGGTTGTCAGGCCGACTTTGTGGCCCCCAACTCAAGGCAGTGGTCAGCATGTGTCCATGTGGACCCTGGACCTTCCTGGGTGAGCTCAGGCCGGCCCAGTGCATGGCCAGCTGCTGCCAGGGTGGCTGTTGTGAGAAGTGAGCGTGGCACCTGCAGCTCTGGCAGGAAGTGATGTTGGGGTAGGGGCGGCGGTGGAAAGGTGACTCAGAGCTCTGGGAACCGGGACAGGAAAGTTCCCAGAGGCGTGTCTGGGGAGGCCACAGGGTGTGTCCCTGTTTTGTGATGGCAGCTGAAGGGGGAGGGGGCTCCCAAGAAAAGACAGGTACTAGCGTGACCCAGGGTTCAGAGAAGCGGGAGTGCTAACCGTGAGGACAGTCCCCCTGGGGCAGCCAGAGTGCACGTGCCAGGGCCCAGTTGGGGGGAGGGACAGGTGCCCGGCCCTGCTGCTGTTCACGCAAGCAGGCGGCCAGTGCTGGCCTTCGTTTCCCATTTTGAACCTGAGGATACGGTGCGGGGACCGTGTGGGCTCAGGCCACACCTTCAGGAAGCAGAGGGCTTTTACTAAGTGGACATGTGTGGCAAAGCACAGCTGACAGCCAGAGTCTGGGATGGGATGCTGTACCCCAAGGTCTGAGGAAGGTGGTTTGTTGTGCCTGGGGGGGAGGGGGGTGCGCAGCCCAGGCCTTCTGCAGTAGGGTAGCAGCAGGGACAGGCACCCTTCACCTGCGACTCGAGGCAACACCAGGGGTGATGCTCAAGTGTCTCACACTGACCTCTGGCCGCCCCTGCGGATGGCCCCTGTACAGTGCTGGCCTCAACGCTGCACGGTCTGAGCTCCCTGCGCTGCCTTTGTGACACTGCATTTCTCCTCCTCCGTGACCTGCTCTCTCACAATTGCACTGGCCCGACCCAGTTGGTTCTAAGACCAGAAACACACCCCCTGCCCTCCACACGGGCTGGAGCGCTGCAGGAAGGGCCACGGACCCATCGGACACAGGGCGGCTTGTCCCTGGTGGCCTGGGCCGCCGCCCTCGCTCCGCTTTTCGTGATGGCCCACAGCTCCCGAGACCCGCCTGTCTCCGGGGCCCAGCTCAGGAGGTGGCGCCCAGCCCAGATCCGGTGTCTGGCCGGGTCAGGGTCAGGTCACTTACAAGCATGGCCACCTGTGCCTGCTGCGTAGGTGGCAGGCCTGTTCCTGCGGGGCTCGGACTGCACCGCACTGCCCCCCAGCGGGGCCAGCTCCCCACGGCCCCTCCAGCCCCTGCTCCGCAAGCAAGGAGCTGATGTGATGCAGGAACCCCGGCCTCACAGCCCTGTGGCCTTTTGTCCGCACGGGCCTGGTGCCAACCCTGGTGGCCCCATTCAGCTGCTGGGGTGCAGCTCCGACAAAGTGCCACAGTCTCCTCTCACACCCCTCAGCCAGCTGGGCGTCATGTCAGGCGCACGTCATTTCTTGTGTGGCCCGAACACAGCTCTGAAGAGCCAGACAGGACAGGCTCCCTTTCCCTCGTGGCTTTGGAAGGTCTCTGGCATCTCGAGACTCTGTGAGGGCTCTTTGGTGTTGAGGTGGCGGCCAGCAGGCCTCAGTGCCCCTGCGGACACTGTTGTCCCGAGGCCCGCAGCCCTGTGGGCCGCTCCTGCATCGCTGCCTTACAAGTGGGTGCACAGCCTTGTCCACCAGGGCCCTGAGGCCCGGGACACTGGCCCTCGCTCTGAGGGGCACTGGCCAGTGGAGGGGTCCTTCGCCGAGTTGTGGGGCGTGGTGGCCGTCGTGCTTTCTGAACAGTCGGAGGACCCCGACGCTCACCCGGTGCCGCTGGGAACGTGCGGTTCCACCCTCGGCCGTACTTCCCATCACCGTCGGGGGTGTGAGTGGTCGTGACAGGCCACCGCGAGCTGGCCGAGGCGCAACATGCTAGGTGCAGGGTGGCTGAGAGATTCATTCCCTGGGGCACCGTGGTCCTCGATGCCCCCTCGGCGCGAGCGGCGCCTCCCCTCCTCCCTCGTGATGATCTAACACCCGCTGTGGGTGGTAGCGGAGGGACCGCTGGGGCGCGGGGCCCCTCGCCCCCCAGGGAGGCTGCCTACCGGGGTTCTTTGTCCTGTAGCAGCAGCTGGGCTCCATTTTGAAGTAGCAAGTGGATGGGGGGGTTTGGACGTTGACCCTTGGTCAGGACGGGCTCTTGCAGCGCGAGGGTGCTGGGGTGCGCCCCACAGGGGGCAGCTGGCACCTGACAGCTGGGGGTCAGGCACCGACAGTGCGCATGGTGCCTGGTCCCCGTCTGGTGCTGCCAGGACACGGGTGGGCCTGTCTTAGTCCCCAGGTGGAGACAGGATGGGCCACAGATGGGTGGGGAGCAGCACCCACGTCTGTCTTTCAAGCCTAATGCCCGCCCCTCTGCTCACCCCAGAACCGGCCCTCCGTGATCACGTGCGCCTCCGCCAGCACCCGCAACTGCAACCTCTCCCACTGCCCCATCGCGCACAGCGGCTGCGGGCCGGCGGGGCCGGCCAGCTACCGGAGGGCGCCGAGCTGTAAGTGCGGGGGGGGGGCCCTCACTCACTCACTGGCGGGGGGCGCCTTCCGGCCCTTCTGTTCACAGCAGTCGGAGCAACCAGCCTCGAAGCTTCCCCCGCGGGCGCCGGTGTCTGGGAGCCTGGGGGTGGGCGGGAGGCAGTGGGCGCCGCCCTGCGGGCTCTGGCCAGCCGGGCGCTTCCGCCTGTGGCCCGGCGCTGACACCCCTCTGGTCGCCCACAGCCGCCACCGCCTGCGACCCCGTGGTGGAGGAGCACTTCCGCAGGAGCTTGGGCAAGAACTACAAGGAGCCGGAGCCGGCGCCCAACTCCGTGTCCATCACGGGCTCCGTGGACGACCACTTTGCCAAAGCCTTGGGTGACACGTGGCTTCAGATCAAAGCGGCCAAGGACGGCGCGTCCAGCAGCCCGGAGTCCGCCTCGCGCAGGGGCCAGCCGGCCAGCCCCTCTGCCCACATGGTCAGCCACAGTCACTCCCCCTCCGTGGCCTCGTGAAGGGCCTGGCCCCTTGAACAAGACGTGGGTCTGCATGGTTTGCCTGAGCTTGAACAGTCAGCGCTTAAAAAACAAACAAAAAAAATGGGGGGTGGGGGAGGGGGGAGGTTTACTTGCAAAACCATGTTGGGGTTTTCGTTCTGTCCTGTTTCTGTACTGCTTGGTATGCGTGCACGGCCCTCGGATGAGACGGCGGGAACCGCGGGGCACCTGTCCAGTGTCCCGCCCTGACTTCCCGCCTCGGTTACCAAAGAAACCTCTGCTGCAGGCCTCGCCCGCGTCAGGTCCCTCGCTGTGCCCCAGCCCTGGCCGCCCTGTCGTTCGCTTTTCGAGAGTGGGGCCTGTGGGCCAGCGGCGTGCGTGAGCGTGTGCGTGTACTTGAACAGAACAGAGCTGGCTGTCTGATTTGCACTACTGGCGGCCCGAGCGCCCGCCCGCCCGCCGGCTCAGGCGCGGGGCCGTGTGCCGAGGCAAACTGCTGAGAAACGAAGGGGGTGAGGACGACGTTGCTGGCCATTTGTGTGGCGTTTTTGTTTTCGTTTGTTTCTGACTTAGTCTGACAGCTTGGGAAGGGGAAGTCTCATGCAGGCTGTAGGTCTCTCTCTGGATTTCAGGTGCTTGCAGTGGGCTGCGGACTCCACCGACCACGGGCATTGGCCACCCCAGACTTGCGGTGCCTTAGGCTAGAGCAGAGCGGGAGGCCCCACAGCGCTTCAACGTGACGCGTGTTTCAATGGAGAGAAATAGCTGGTTTCTATTAACTGTGTAGGCAGTAAACAAAGTCCTTAATATTAGCTTCTTTCCAGAATTTACTTTTCTCAGTTGCAGTCCTAGCTAGAGCTACTGCTGGTCCAGTGGATGCGAAGATGCTTGTCCGCAGCCTCGCTCCCGCCTGCTGGGGGGCTGACGTCTGTGGTGGCGCCGCCTCCTGCCCGCTTGGGACTAGTTCCCAGGGGTGGGAGTCGGCCCTGGCCCTCGATGCAAAACTGCTCTTTGCTGAAGGCCAGGCCCCTGACAATCTGTGATGCGGCGCGTTTCCCGGGGCGCCGCGCCGGGGCCAAGGCAGTGCACATTCCCGACTCGGCGCTCGCTCGCTCGCTGGCTCGCTGCGGCCGCGAGTCGTCAGCGCTACTAACCTGAGGTAGAGGGAGGGGCCCGGCGGCGCCGGCCAGCAGCTGCTCCTCCCTGGTGGACGCCTGGCCCCAGCCTACCTGCTACATTCCAGCCTTGTCCCCCGCGGGCCTGACAGGTCGCCGGCCAGGTGACTTGCTGTGCCCGCCTCACCTGCCGGGCAGTGTGGACTCACGGGAGCCCTCAAGGCTGGTTTCCGGGAGGAGGGAGGCTCCGGCCTGCTGGGTAACAGAAAACTGGCGTGGGGAGGCAGGGGGCTCTCCTGGGCGCGAGGGGCCCCTCGCCCCGGACCCAGCACGTCCCTCCCCTCCCTGGGCTTCCACATTTAGGCCCGTCTCTTCTGTAGGAAAAACCGTCGAGAACACTTTTTTATATAGGTAACTTTAAGACCATCATTACGCTGTGCGTAAAGAATGTACAGAGAAATTTGTAGGTATTTTTTGAAGAACAATTAATTTGTTAATGATATGTAGCTATTTAATTTTTCCCTTTCCCATTGTAATCATTTTTTTTTTTTGAAAAAAAAGTTGATCTTTTTTTGTCGTAGATTTGTCTGTAAAAGTGCAGGAACACAGTTACTCTATGAGAACGCTGCAGCTGCCTTAATAGCCGCTCGTTTGTTACTGCTGCAGGCTACTGAGCGCGGCCGGCAGGCTCGGGGCGGGGCCGG